GTTGTTGTTGTTGTTGTTGTTGTTGTTGTTGTTGTTGTTGTTGTTGTATGTTTCTTAACAATGGTTGGTTGAGTCGTGTTGCCTTGAAATGTGTTAAAGGGTTTTCTGATGTTGGATGGGGTCTCTTCAATAGGGTTCCAGAATTGCAAAAATGTCAGTTGTGTATTTTCTACATAATAGGATGGTTTCTCCCAACTCTTCACTCTTGGAAGTCGGCACATATTCCGGATATCCGGTCCGCTTCAGGTGTTCGGACGGGACGTGGTTCGGATGTTATATGATCTTACATCCTCCCACGTCCCTCTTAAGCTGATACATTTGACCACAAGTAAGCTGACCAGAAACTTTTGTGATGTTACTTGTGGTTGTCAGATGACCGACTATGACTCTCAGGCTTTCCAAATACATCTCAGCCACCACGATGGTTCTGGAGCAAAGTAATCAGATTGGCTTTGACCCCATGGCATCTACTGCCTTCCTGGCAGGAGAGCGTTTGGAGGTGACGGCATCGAAATGTCGGAGTGGTGACGTGTCGTCAACATTTCAATCATGCCAGCATGTGTTTACGTGTGAAAGTATGGTCCATATTGGTTTATATATTGGTGAAGTGTTCTTCTCACAATTTGCTGTTTCCTACTCTTGAATGTTGGTACTGTCCTGCTAAGACAACACTGCAGCCTTGATATTCTAGAACATTCTAGACACGTGCACATGCTTTTGTTCATATAAGAACCATCCGAGCACCGCGGTAAAACACTGCAGTGTCCTGACATCGATCGATAGCGCGCCGCGCTGCTGTGTGCAGAGTGTCCTGACTCACCCAGACTCTTCTTCTTTTCTTTGCACGAAGATCCACTGCCACATAACCATCACCCAATCATTTGCCCTCCATTGATTCATCAGATTCATCAGTTGACCTCACTCACATGGGAAGTCAGACTCACATGGCACGGACCCAAAGGACGACTCGGTTTCCACCCTAAAAGGGGTGGTTTCCCCACCCCAGGTGACCTCGTTTCACGTGTTGAGAACGCCTCGATGAGAACAAGTCATGTGTTCGGAAGCTGCTCCACCGGTAGTGCACTTTGGGTTAGACCCAACCGGAGACCCAATTCCGGCATTGGACCGTGGCCTTCGCCCACGCTCTGTGTGCCAAGTCGACGCCTTCGCCCGCCCCAGGGTCTTCCTGGATATGGCCAACCGGGGTCGCGGGCGCGGGTCTACTACGAGCTGGCATGTCAGTCTGCTCATTTGCTCGCCCACAATGTGTCACACGGCCTGCAAAGGAGTCTGAGTTGTCTCGCACAGACTCGGTCCCGCCAAATGGCTCCATACACTCCCTGAAATGAGAGTAATTAATGATGGTCAACAGAATCAACCAAGCAGAATCAACCATGCTTGGTTGGATCATCAATTTCAGATGATCACGTTAGGGTGACGATCAAGCACGTCAGGTTGACGTTGCTGTGCCTCCAACCGGCCCTGAGGCCCTGAGGCCCATGAACTGTTCTGCTGTGTAGGTCGGCACCTTCGACCAGGGAGGTTCTCCCTCCGGACCGGTGCAGGATGGTGACAAGTGTGACATACGTAGACCCTTTTAGGTCATGTCGTGAGGAAGACGGAGGGTCCAAGAAACTGGTCTCTCCTACATCTTCCTTTGCGGTTTGGGTGAATAAACGCACATGCCTTTGAGCTGTGGGTGTCTGCCACCATGCACGCCGAGGTTGTCCTTATGCCACAAGCTCTCGGGTAGCCTATTGGATGAGCAGCAAATGCAGCGGAAGGTGAAGATGCTACATATCGCGCGACACCTGTCCAGCGCTTCTTGTCAGTAAACTGTGCCTCAGAACGGCCAGCGCCAGATTCCGAGATATAAATTACGGTTGTTGGCATTGAGAACCCCTATATAAGTGAAAGGTCACGGGGTGGAGGTTCGAAAGAGTCTGTTGAGCCAAAGAATCCTGTCCTTCCTCACGTCTTGCCAAAATTGCCCAGAAGTAGTAATATACCACTGAGTAGAGTATAGCTTCCACCTAAGGGGAAGGACTGAATCCTGAAATGAATCCTTCGCTGAGCAATGGCAGCCTCAGGACATGCATCGACAAGCCGGTTACTTCTTTCGCATCGCCATCGAGTTCCTCAGCCGAATCAAAAAATCATCTGCACTGCAGCTGATCCGGACATCTTGCTTTGACAGAATAGAGCTTGCATGGAAAAGCAAGAGGGTGTTGATCTGATCATTGAATGATTTGCAGGGATCATTGGATCATCCAAACTAACTACTCCAAGATCTTCTGGGTGACACGATTGTTTGTTTGTTTGTTTGTTTGTCGATTCTTCTCTGCCCAGGCTCTTGGGTCATTGGCAGCTGACCGGCAGCTGCTCGCAACGTGAAGACGTGGCACAAGTCTTGGCGAACAGCCTTCAAAGCCATTGGAAAAACATGGCCAAGGCCTGGTGCGATCGTCCGTGTGTTCGGGCATGTGGCAGGGCACTTTTAGAGGTTCCTATGAGACCATGAATGCAAGCTATTTGGTAGGTGTTCACTAGTGTCACTAGTGTTCACTCTTGGGGGGGTTGACTTAGACTAGCCCATGCCATTGATACTGCAAAGCGGTGGAGTGCCACAACAAGTTTTCACCCACAGTCCACGGGGAAGAACGTACAGATGTTGGACCATGATCGTATGTATCAATTGTGTGCTGAGGAGTATACCGTACGATCTAATTCTAAAGACCTTGCAAACGTAAGGAGAAGGTTTGTTTTGTGCTCTAGCTGTAAGTTGCTGCGTTTGTGTCTCGTGAGGCTTTGGAAGAGCTCGGCTGGCAGCATCAATCTTACGCGCCAGGCAGCTGACCAGATAACGAGACAGGAAGGGAAGGGGCAGCAGCTATTGGTCTACAGAAAGCCAGAGCACGGAAAAGAAAGCTTTCGAAAGCTTCGCATGCAAACTGGTAGAGTCTCCCCTATTTACTATTATTATTGGTGTTCCCTCCTAAAAAAGATATTGATATATAACCTTCAACTCAAAGTAGCTGCACTGTCAGTTCCAATGAGGCATGGGAAGTACTTCCAATGTGCTGGTGGAGAGGATGACCTCACCTGCCCTGGTGGATTTTTGGATGAAGCTCGTCGAAGGCCGCTGGGTTCACCGTCGTGCGCCGCCGTGGCCGTGGCCGTGCGGGTCAAGGAGGGACGCTGAAACGGTGCCCCGATGGAGTTGGCGGAAAAACACCCGAAAAAGCGGACGGGACCGAAAGGTGACAAACTCTTTCATACAGCTTGTCAGGGACGCGTCATACGTCACAGCGTTGCTGTTTTAACTATTAAGTTCTTTCCATGCCTGGCATATATTGTTGTTTTCTTGTTTTCCAGAGGTGTCATGTCCACCACTTGCTTGGACCTGGTCCTCAACCTGGTGATCTTGGTCTCCTACCTGGCCGAAGACGCCGTGCGCCTGAAGACGCACCTCTTCGCGCAGCTCTACCTCACCGAGCTCCGCCTCTCACCACCGGGCACGGCCGCGGAGGGCGTTGCCGTGGCGCTGCCGGTGGACAGGGCGGCACCGGCGTCACGTGGTCACGTGCCCTTCGTGTTCCGGCGCTGGCGCTGCTGCTTGCGCTATCACGTCTTGTTGCAACTGCTGGAGGAGATCGCGCAACAGAGAGCGCAAGAGACGAAGACACCCGTTTCGGTGTCGATGATCGAAATCGGAGTGCACACGGCCTCGACGGCCAGATTCTTGTTGGATCGGGCACCCTTTTTGCATTGGACGGGCATCGACCCCTACGAAGATCACTCGGGTGGCCTGGCTGCAGAGAGCTGGGAGCTGAGCGTCCCACGTTGCGCTTGTTCGTGTTGCGTTCGCCTTAGCTCTGACTCTAACGAACACCGGGATTCATGCGGTTTGACGAAGACCAGGTTCACATAGTAGTACGTTTGAGATCTTTAAAAAGGTAATAAACAGAATCTATCGCTTCATGTGCATGTTTCATTTTATAGGATCTGTGACCAGAACACCGGACAATGCGTACCAACACGTGTCCGATCCTCCTCCGTCGTTCCGCGGTGCCAGGCGACGCGTTGTTCCACGAAGCCTCGCGGCACCTGGCGCGCTTCGGCCACCGGGCGCGGCTGCTGCGGCGACGCTCGGAGGAGGCCTGGGAGACCAGCGGCGCTCTCCATGGATCCTCGGTGCTGATGGATTTGTTGGGTCGCGCGAAAGGTTCACAAAAGATGGTTATAACATACCATTGTAATCATCTTAAGGCAATATATATGCAATATGTGGGTTGAGATGCCTGCATTTGGTGGTTTTTTCTTTGTGGTCATTCCCTTAGTAGAACCAAAAGGATACCTCAAGGCACTCGACATAACAGTTGTTCCATGTTCTCCATCATCACCCCTTTGCAAGATTTGGGACTTCCCTTGAGATGGAGTCTTCTTCCACTTCAGTCACTCCATCCGCCCATCCATCGGTCCTCGGCCTCGGCTCGGAGGAGTGGAGCTCCACTCGGTGGATCTGTTGTTCGTGGACGGCGACCATGACTACAACGCCACCTTCCAGGACCTCGTCGCCTGGGCGCGCTTCGTGCGCCCAGGCGGCATCGTGGCGGGACACGACATCTTCAATCCGGCCACTCGGATCTCGGATTCTACGGTGCGAAAACAGAGGTTCGATGGCACTGGCGCGCCAAGAGGACTTTTAGATGGGGGTCCATATAAACCACCAAACTTGGGGATTGTGCCATCGACTCTCAATCCACTATATGTTTTTCGGAAAGGTGTGCGGTGTGGGTGTGTGGTGTGGTGTGCGGGTGTGCAGTGTGCGGCGTGCGTATTGAAAGAAAGACTGTATTAGGATACTAGGTGTACACGCTTTGTTCATGGTGTGATTGATGGTTGTTTGTCTTCCTGCTTCAATTTATGGAAGGGTCCAGTCCAGTTGTTTGTTCCTTAATGTATGATTCAATCAATTCATATATGACCGTATATGCAATCTTGTGTAGGGGAACATCATTGAAACGATGCCTTTTTTCAAGCACCGGATGCATTTTGATGCATGGAATTCTCCAGGTGAATGATGGTGTTACAGAGGCCGTGGAAGATCTCCTGCGAGGAAAGAACGTCGTGGTGAACTTTGCAACAGATCATGTCTTCTGGTGGCATACGTGACGATCTCCGTGACAATGGGTTTCTCCTCTCGGAGATCTTTGGGATCTCTTGGACTTTGAGGAAAATGAAGCTTTGGATGCGATCACGAAGCGTCTGTATGTCAACCGACCCATATACATCCAGTCGTACCTCCTCAGAATGTACTTGGACCCTCCAAGCTTACATGAAAGCGTCGCCAATCACCCTCTCAAAGAGCAAGTGGACCATCGGGCAATACAGTTGCACAAGTGGCACAACAGACAATGCAGAAGACGTGAAGAGAATTGGACGCTGCCATGGTTTTGTGATTCCATTGAGAAGACTGGCTGATGCATGGATCTGATGTAAGGCTTGGCAGGCTTATACAAGCCCAAGCCTGTAGGCTACAGGTAGGCAGACTGCAAGGAAGCGCCATCAGGAGATCACTTACAGGAGACGGAGAGAATCACCCAAGGAGTTGCCAGTGAACCCTCCGCGGTGCGTGCCCCTGCAGCCTCTCCTTGAGCTCCGCCGTGCCCCTGGGCCCCTTGAAGTCCGGAGTTGGATTTTAACAGATTCGGCCATGGCCGGCGGCCTCCTTGGGTCTGAAGAAATGTTGACACATTGTCCCATCGCTTGCGAAGAAAGAAGCGGCACACTTGTGTAGGACACTTTGAGAGCAGAAAGCATCCTATAGGGGTCCTAGGATTCACCTCATTGGCCTAGAGCTGAAGTTGCTACTAAATCTCTCCCTGCCGGCGGATCAGGCCATTGCCATCAAGGCACTCGTACTCGTTTGTACATCGTATAGGTATATAGTACATGTGCAGTTGATGGGTAATACCTAGATCTTCGTATGAGGCACTTTTCCAAAAAAGTTGCCTTTTACCGTACGGCGGCGTAAATTGTAAAGCTGCGGCGTTTCTTGATTTTGCGGCGGCGTTTTTTGTGATTGGCTCGAAGTTGTTTAGTTGGGTGATTTGTGCCCTTCGTTAGGTATAGTTGGGTATAGTTGTGTCAAACCCCGAAGGTTGATGAACACACCCCAATGTGTGAACTTCTTGTCAACATACCGACCGGTATACCTTTGGGAAAATGCGGAATTGGTGCAGTGCTTGAATTATGTTTTAGCTTCGAAACGGCTGGTCGTTCCGGAAGAGTACCAACCAATGTTTCATAATTTGTTTTCGTGCTTCAGAGCTCCCTGAAAGAGAGTGATAAGCATTCAACACAAAAATTGAAATTATGTTTTTGAGTTTCATACGTGTTGCGAGAAATTTGTGAAATTTGACGGAAAAAATGGCGGCGAAAATCCGCGTATTGGCGGCGTAAATCCACGTAATGGCGGCGTAAATCCGCGTAATGGCGGCGTAAATTCTCGTAATCATGTTGGCAACATCTGTCACCCATGGACCACTGAGATTGCTTGGCTTATCAGGGTGTAGCATACACATGAGCACAAAGACTCTTGTTAGGGGTGGTCAATTGTCAAAGCTTGCACAATGACCTTGAAGAATGACCCTGAGTACCAGAAGTTGGGTATAGTTGGTAAATTTGGCAATGGGAATCGTAGAGCGGTCAGGGATTTGGGATTGCGATGACGTTATCGTGGAGGTGAGTGTGAGGGTTTGGTCTCTACCTCGTGTTACTTGGGGAATCTAACTGAGTATATCCTTGAGCCTGACGTGGAGGAGACATGCACCATCCTTCCCCATATATGGAATGTGGCGTTTTGTTTTTCTGGTGGCGCTTTTTTTGGATGACGGCAATTTTCCACTCTGGTGGCAAAATTTTTGGCCACAATGGAAAGCGGCACTTTTTTCGTCCACCAGGTGGATCTAGGTATAAATATATCGTACTTATATTTGTTGTTATGCATTTACTTATATTTATAACATTAAACTAAATATTAGCCATTGTCCCGATTTTAGGTAGACCGTCTCAGTGACCGGTTCCAAGAACCCGTGCACGTAGACCAGATGCAGGCGTTCTTCTCTGTTGGTTGCTTTCTATCAAAAAAACGAAATCCATAAAATCAGCAGAACATCAGCAGATGCTGACCATGTCACCCATGCTATGCTTCGGAGAGCCCGAGCTCTGCGCCAAGCGCTGGCGCAGCTGGAGCGAAGGACTGAATCCACTTTCCAAAGATCCGGATCTAGACTTGAGGCACTAAGGGAGTATAGCCTAGCTAGTAGTTCAATTTGATTGCGCAATCCTTGCCCTTGTCTCCATTTTCCATGACAAATGCGGATAGTAATGTATCCAAAAAGTCCTTGGAAGGAGGAACCCTCGAGCCGAAGCGGAAGCCAAAGCCATCACCAGGCACAGAAAAGGAGCCATCCAGGTCGTTGAACAATTTAATTATTGTTCATTCTTTTTTATTGTTCATTATTCTTTAGCTCTTTTACTATTAAGATATGTGTTCCACGCGGTCGCTTTTAGAGTCTGCCCAAGTTGGCTGGCTTCGCGCCAGGCACTTGGTCCAGTTGGGAGAGGTTTCTTGGGTCCAGGCGAGACGAAGGAGAACAAAACGGAACCAAAACCGGCGGAGTCCAGTGAACGTTCATGGCACTTGGTTTGTATCGTGGTGATCGAAATGAAGGTGGAAGAAACACGTTTGGTACCAAAATAGTGTTCAATCTGAGAACGTGTTACACACCCTTTTTTAAAACTCTATATCTTGATTTTGGAGGCCTTGGATTTTTTGGCGCAGCTGGAAGGAAAGAACGTGGTGCACTGGAACACAGTGCTGGGCTCAGAGAAGGAATCTCAGCGAATATCAGCGACATGATGAACAGATGATTGACTCCCTATAGGTACCTTTTCAGAAGGTGATTGGAGGCACTGTTATGTAGGTTTGGAGGGTCTAAGACTCAGACTTTAAATATAATAATGAGTTGATTTCCTCGCAGGTCATCTCCGCGTGTGGCAAAGCGCGCCAGTGGGCTGCAGCCCGGGAGCTCCAGTTGTCCAAAGACCGGCGATGTGGCGTATTTTTTTGGAGAGTGTCAGACCGCATGTGACAATGTGGCCGCAAGTCAAAAAACACCTTTAAATTTCATTTGAATGACATTGACACATTCCATAATGATCCAAGATGGATCCAATTTCTTGATTCTATGGATTTTAAAGGGCCAGGGTCCCCAGACTTTTATGGGGTGACATGACCCACCAGCTATGTGGTTGTTTCTTCAAGTATCAAGTACCTGAAAGCTAGTGCGACACGGAGGACTATGTGAGTTCTTTCCGGAGTGTAGATTGATAGCATGCAGTCCGTGCTTCCCTGAGGCCTTGGCAGTTTTGGCATCCTCCCCTGTGCTGGACTGAGATTTCTTTGAACAAGTTGGGTGTTCAAACGAACAAACGTTTGTGCTCTCCGGTGAAGGCAGGCAGGGCTTCTTAGGCCTTAGACATGCGCAGTTGAAGCGGACATGGTGGACATCCAGCTGAGACTTGGTACAACAAGAATTGAATGTCTCCTCAGTAAAACCCATGCCCAAAAAAGAGGAGAGCCTCAAACAACACCCTCAAAAACGGTCAAACACCACCAACAAACCAGTTCATTTACAGTTACCCATCAGTGACAACAAGAGAGCCTCAAAAAGAAATAACAGCAAAAACCACAACAAAAAACAGTTCATTATAAACCGTTCAAAACCCGATCGGTCGCAGGACCCGATCGCCGTGGCCTCGGCGCTGGGCGCCCGGCCGCCCTGGCGTTCGGCGGTGCAGCTGCTGGGCACGGCGATGCGGCGACGGCTGCAGAGCGATGTGCCTCCGGTGAGGAAAAAAATAGGGAGACATGAAGGTACCATCCAAGGGGTGTTCAATAGACTGCCCTAAGTACTACCTATATAGAGATAGACAATGATAGACCTATGATGGAACCATCATACTTATGCATGGTAAAGCAATATCGTACATAGGCATAGGGGACAATACGGCAATACAAACTATAACAAGAAGACATGTAGTATCGTGTATAGTTCTTACTTGCAGTGACCTCTTTGGTTTCGCAGATCAACAGCTGCCCGTCCTTGCCACGCCTCGTGCGATCGACCTCAGGACGTCATCGCATCGAGCGTCATCAGCTGCTGTAGCCGCGAGGAAGCGTGGCAGGTGGGGAAGTCCGTCCGGACCCGGTGGGGGAGCCGCTGACTGAGTCGCTCGAGTTGCAGGTCGGACGAGTTGCAGATCGGTAGAGTCGAGTGAAGAAGCCGAGACTCTCACACTCAAGTAAAAGGCGTTGATGTAGGGTGGAGGAGCCAGATATGTTCTAGATTCTATATTATATGCTCTGTTTGCTTTTGTTGGTTTCAACGATGGTCTTCAGAGATGCGACATGTTGCGGAACAAACTGTGTTGCTATACCTGATGGTTGAGTTTGCTTTGCCAGATTGGTGGTGACGCATCGCAGGTCTCCTTGGCTCTTTTACAAAGGCTCGACGCGAAAGACTCCACGGTGGCGGTCGGCGCGGCCATTTCAGGACCGAGCCTCGGCCGATCGTTTGCCGGGTCATGTGTTATTTTTTGGTAATAAGAATAAAAGTACGAAAATGAAGCTTGAACCATGGTGAAGGATCTATGTGGCTTATATGATGGCCTTGACAACATGACGCACAGGCTTTAAAGGGCAAATCGACCTTCTATGCTTCACTGATTTTCCAAGACTTCTGAGCACGGACGTATCTCTCTTCTTTGTGAGGAGCTGAACGCGCTTCCCAGTGGACCATCGCAATATCCTTGCTGGAGAATCTCAAGAAGAAGGTGCCTTTCCCCCATTCAGAAGAAACGATTCTACACTCCTTCTTTGGATCCATGTGCAGGGAGATAATGTGCACTCCGCAAAATACTTGCAGAACTTGATCACAATATCAGTAATGTAGACTCTTGACTAATAACCCCCCCATACTAGTATGAAGTGGAAAATCCTCTTCATATGAGGGGTTTATTAATCAAGAGTCTACATTACTTTACATACAAGTTCTCGATGCAGGGAGTGACGCCTTTTCAGTGACGCCTTTCAGTCTATGTTCGGTGGAGTTCCGTTGGATGCACTTCCACGACGTGTCGACGGGTCGCTCGTCGCGTTTGTATCCGGCTCGATCAGGTGACGCCCAGCTTCATTGCATTCTCCACCACGGTTTTAGCGTGCAGCAAAGCCTCACAATGGCAGGCGGCTCTGCCTTGATGACATGGAAGCTCTTCGCTGTTTGATCGATTTGGGGGTGTTTGTTTCTGAGTGCTTTGTTTTAAGTTATATAGATGTGCATATTCTTGCCGTCCTGTTTTTTCTTAGTCAATTGCTCGCAGATACACTGGCTTTCAAAAGCTTAGATCGACTTGATCCTTTCGCTTTGCAGGCAATACTGCAATTGCTACGTGATCGAGGAGAAGCACTGGACGCCGTGACATGCACAGCGGCCATTTCAGTCCCTGAGCTGCACACAGGTCGTCGACGCTCCAATGGCTGCGGCTGCGGCCGGTCCAAATCTGGGTCATGTTGGGGATGTGAGGATGGGTATTCTTCCAGATGTTTTTTGCTCTTAAAGCTGTTGCTAGTTGGCTTTCATCCGGTATTTTGCATGTGTTCTGCAGATGTGCTAGTTAAACATTGTTTATATAAAGCTATATAGTATATTTGCAACGTATACAAGAGCCAAAAATTAATGGCTGGCTTTTTTGAGATGGTTTATCAGCTCGGCCGATGTTGAGGCCTGCCGAGATGGCCACGCTTGGCAAGATGCGATTCGAAGCATGGCACAGAACCGAGCATGAAGTATTGCAAAAGATGTGTTCAAACTGTTTTGCTTCAATTCTCGCATGTGATCACACGTGCATGTCGCTGGGATTTGCATGCGATATCTTGCGAAGAGTGTTGTCGCCGAAGGACAGAGGCCAAGTGTTGTGGGTTCCACCCGAAGAATTCTGGCCCATTCTGGGCACAGCTGTTGAAGGAACAGCTTGCTGCTTGTTGCCAAGGACTGCTGTTTCTTGCTCTGGATTCACGACCAAACCGGTTCGAAGAACGAGGACGGGGACGTTTTTGCACAAAACGTGTTGGTTCTACAGGCAAGGTGAGATTCCATGTATTTCAGTGAGGAGCAGAAAGGACACGTATTCCATGTGACAGCAATTTTGGTATTAGGATCATGGGAGATGTTTTTGCGAGATTTTGCGATGTTTTTTGGCTTTCTGTTTGCTCGAGTGCTGGTTGGACGGAAGACCTGGCTGTTTTGTGCGCGGTTGTCATCAGGAGAAGCACCTGGCTTGACATCTTCCAATGCTTGTTTGAGTGCGTTGGAAAGAGCCAGCCGCTTGGCCGCCGCTTCGCCACACAGACAGAAGCACCATGAAGCACCTTGCTTCTTGCATGGGGATCATTTCACTGGATCTTCAGAGTCACATGAGTCACCAACATCCAGCGTGACAGTTCAAACCATGTCCAAACCTTGGGTTTGTCCGTTCTTACCTGTAACAGTCAGTAAACAAGCAAATCACTATTTTTGGACAAGGCCTGCAACTTGACCATCATCATCCACTGGCAACCAGGTCATAGGAGCCTGGCACCCATGTCCTGACACCCATCCTGTCGAGATGTTCGCCCTTGTCTGTCGGGGCGACGTCTTCCATCTGCGCGCAGCCTCTGTGGGGCGGGCGGCAACGCCACGGACCGGTCGGGTTCGCCGAGCGTCAGGTCAGTGGCAACGGGCCATCGCACTGCTTCAGTTCCTTCCCGCAGGACGTGTCCAAGCAGATGAGGTCCGTCGTCCGTTGCTGTGACCATTTTCTGTGTCCCAGAGTCTCATTGTTGCTCCAGTCTCATTGATGCCGAATCCAGCGGACTCCAGCGCTTTGAACAGACCACAGAGGTGGTGGATTGGTTTACGCCAATGTCATCCAGACATTGGCCACTGAGATAAATCCATACAATACTGTTGAGATCATATCTTTTTGTTTTTGGCTTCCACGGATCAATGGTCCGCGCTAATTGTTCAGTGCTGTGACTGCCCATCTCACCCCATTTGACCTCATCTTGGACCTCCCCCGGGCACAGTTTGCCGCACCACCGGGCCACGCCCGCAGCCGCCCACGGCACGGCCGCCTACGGCCATGGGAAGGTGTCCTTCAACACGACGATGAGCGCCTGCAGCGTTCACCTCAAGTGGCAACATGCCTTGGCGCTGCGCGAGGTCATGCGCCGACGCCAGCTGCAGGAAGACCAGGCGTGGACCGGCGAGCGAAAGGAAGGACCGCCACGGTGACGAAGGAAGTGGTTGAGTCATGTCGAGATCACCAAATTCAAAGTGAATGAAATGTAAGAGACTTAGCTTATAAATATGTAATTTATGTTTATACCTAGACCCCCTGACAGCCTACTTTTTTCTAGGCGATTGGGATTTTTAGGTTTAGCTCAAAAATCTGAAAATTAGGGAAATCATTGGTTCTTTCACATTCTTGCATATCCATGCAACATCTCTTGTGGATCAGGCATGTAGCCTATCAAAACTTAAGGTTGTCTCTTATTGAGTCTACCACGCCAAGGTATTCCATTCATCGCATCCCTTCACCCATCGGACCAGTTTCATGTTTGTTTCCCCAGGCCACCGCAACTGTCGTAGATCTATGAATTTCGCTCACGGGTCCACACATCATGAGCTGCTGCAAGGTATCTCTGAAGAACCCTGCGCTCTGTAGTTTGAGCAGCTGTACGCCTACTCAAAAGTGATGCGCGACCAATAAAATCCTCTGCGGAGCTACACGAAAAGGCCAAAGGATTCATTGGCCTGCCGCCCTTGCGAACAGTCACCCTCATTTCCAAAAGAATGTGGTGGAAATAGTGTAATTTTGGTCTGTAGGCAAAGAGGGGGCGGGAACTAGCATATGCCAAACTTGCAAGCTTGGCATAAGCCTGCAAAAAAGTCAGGCCATCTCCCACAATCTGCTCCGCCAGGGTTTCTTCCTTGGTGGAAGAAAAATGAAAGAATTGGAACCCAACCTTGAGTTATAGGACGTGGGTGAATGAAACGAAAGGTGGCATGGCAAGCGGATACACTATTCGCCTGCAGTTTGCTGAAGCCTGAGTAGTTAAGATAAGGATGAGCGTGAGGACACGGTTGAAGGCGGTGAAGATTGGAATGGGTAAAGGCAATTAGGTAACTCATGATCAAAATCGATCAGGATCAGGATGAACATGAGGATGATCTAGGATGAGCATGAAGGTGAAGATGCGGATGACGCTGGGGATGATCAGGAGGATGGATCAGGATGAGGATGAACAGGGATGAGGGTGGATCAGGTAGAGGACATCATGGGGAAGTGTTCTTTAATCTCTTTTACTCATAGGACTTATAATAAGAATTGCAATTTTGTCTATGTCAATGTCCTTTGAGCGTTGTGGCGGAGTAATGGGGAAAGCAGACATGACATACCTTATGTAGGGTGTCATGTTCGCCAAGGCAACCAAACATTGGACCAAACATATCTCACCGTTTGACAAATTTGCTTACAGCCCCACAGTCCTAGACCAATGCCACCCACCAATACATTGTTTGCTAAAACAGGGGAACTTATATAAGTCGTTGAAATAACTTAGTGGCAAAACCAAAACACAACATTATGTCACCCAATGTTGACTGAGGCTCTACCCACAAATCAGCACTGTACAAACCTCTCATGCATTTGCGTAAAGCTTTGCAAGACAAATCAATGTAGTGCAGCATCTTGTCCTGGGAAACCTTGTCGTCGTACGTCTCGCACATGTATATGATGAACTCACTTATCTTTGAGGTATCTGAGGCCTTTGACCAGGTTCCAGTGGGAAAAGTCTTTGTAGCATCTGGAAAGTTCAGCATGTTTCTGGTGAATAAATAGGTGTTGGCAGTAACCCTCATCATTTTTTCCAAGTTCGCCACGCTGTGTTCAAACTTGCCAGTTGGGCATCAACAGATGTTCCAACAAATATGGTTCCCAGCATTGCGACCAAGCATGACCCGGCATGGTCTTGACCGAACCCTGCCAGATATACATGAAACAAATCAGGCAAGAAAAATTTTGCCGGTTGAGACAAGTACTGAAAGCTGTTGGCCACCAATCCGCTAATTTCTCCATCTCTCCAAGGCACCCATTGCGCCCACTCCCCGATAGCTTCAAACCATTTGGGAGAATCTGTGTGAATCTCCTCAAAGGGGAATTGGACATCTCCAGCTGGACACAACCAGCAACACAACCCTGGACTCTGTTTGAGGTTTGTCGGATCAAGTGGACCTTTCCTGCAAGTGGAGTACCATCGTGTAAAGCGGCCAGCACGGGCCTGAAGCTTCAAATCCGCTTTCAAGCCCAAAACAACGAGCCGCAAGCGCAAACCTTGATGTAGCACACCAGTCTCAAAACACTCATGAAGATCCTTCCCAAACTCTGTCATCATGGCCTGGAAACAGGAGTCATCTTTGTGCCAGGCAGCTGGCATCACGGAGTACATGTAGTGTGTCCCATACGAGTGTCCCAAGAGGTTGATTTGGGCTTCTTTCTTCCCCCGCTTGAGCATTCGGAATGAATGATCTTTCTTATTACCGCCTGCAGTCCCGCTTCCGCATACTGAGCTCCAGTTAAAAACCATGAACTCGGACTTTTTGTAACCACGTCCGCCATCAGCGTGAGCAAAGACTGGGATGCAAAGCCCAAGCTCTACATCAGGGTCGTCCACCAGAAACAAACCAAAGTCGGGGTGGTACACTTCAAACCTTCGCCAAAACTCCTCAAGCATCGGCCGTGCCTCGGCCACCTGCTTTCCTCCAAGAAGACGGTTCAGGTAGCCATTGGCTGCCATGTATTCCAGGAAGTGGAGAGGTTTGAGTCTAGGATACCCTTCCAGCAAGTCCCCAGATAGCGGGGTCAGATCTATAGGCAAACTCAGATTGTGCTTGGCAAGGAGTGGGTGAAGCCTATCCTCTGCATCATTGGCTTTAAGTTTGCTCAGACCCCTCACGACTGGACAGGAAGCAACTTGGGATGAAGTCCCAACGGCATCTTCCATCGCTTTCTTGGCAAAGCCAACGACCTGAGAGCATGGCACCTCAGCACGTTGGCAAAAGCATATCAAAGCATCACAAGTCCCACTCCCTGCAAGATTGTTCCCTATGTTGCTCATTTTTGCATCAACGCACAGAACAAAGCCTGTTTTGTTTCCCAACAATTGCTTTTAGGTTGCACGGCACGAATTACATCGCAGATTTGAACACAAAATAAGTAAAAAAGGGCCCTTGCCCACATTGTCTCCCTTCGCCACCCGGCCGAACATTTCTGTTTCCGGGCATGCCTTTGTAAGTTTCAATTAGAACAGCTTCCATTAAAGCTGCTTCGTCAAAGGACTCTGCCGCATAAATGACATCCATGAACTTGAACCTGTCAGGGGACCTGTAGTAGCCTGGAGACGGTGACTCATGTGTCGGCTCCTTGTAGAAACGAAACAAAGGGTCTGCCGTCACCCCTACTTTGTAAACATGTGGGCCTTTGGTCAAAACATTCTCTATTTGTCTCCGGCATGAGGCCAAAGCCTTTCCTGTGTTGGCCATTGGCGGTGGCAATTTCAACCACACTAGGCCATCGTCCCCCAACCCCTTCAAAATCAAATGTTGAAGTCTCGGCAAGCCTCTCAGCGCAGGCTTGAACAGATCAAGAATGCTTGGTACACCTCGGAACGACTCGCGCATCTTACATCTCACCCTTGGCCACCCTTCAATACAATGACAATATGCGGAAGCCATCCCCAAAAGCTTTCATGTCTGTGCACAATGGAACCGCTAAGCCTGCTACTAGACGGCTTGGCGGCCTTTCCAAAACCCCTCTCCTCAAAATGAAACTGGTCCAGCACGGGCAAAGGACTTGCAAGAGCGGATGACCTGATATTTTTGACAGGAGGTCCTCGGCAGATGCGAAAACAGAAATGCATTCACAGCATCACGCTTTTAGCAAGGACAAAGACTCGTGAGGTCATGAGGTCCACCAAAGCCTTTGTTTCAGGAGTACACCACGAGCATTTGTGTGGCACGTTCAATCCAAAAACTTGATAGTACTACAGAAACAAAAATTGCTCGCTTCCACCCAGCATTACTTTAAACAATCCAAGTTGCCTTCACAAGGCTGCCGTTGCTCCCGGCATCGCAAATTATTCTTTACGCTAAAGCCTAGAAGTTCTTCCAGCCATAGTGTCTCTTCACACGCCATGGTGCTGAGAGCCAGAAGCTGGTCTTCTCCCACTATCACGAATGACTCATACGCTATGCTTGCTCAAGTGGGAAGGAAAGACCCTGAGCTTGGCACGCCAGAACCAACGCATTTGGCCAGGTACTCTGCCGTCCCACTCACTCTTGATCGTGGCCGACCTGGCCAAGACAGTAAAAGCCACCATAAACAAAACAACTGTCTCCCCCGTTGGACTCTGGAGCTCAACAAAAATTGATGTGGAGGACGCTGATAGTCTTTCATTTTACCATATCTCAGGGCAGCATGTAGTTTAGAGTCAATGTTGCCCACACTGGACCCAAATGCATCAACTCGAGCAGCGCTCAACACTAATCTAAAGGTCTGCACACCTCTGGGAGCGTGATCACCAGTAATTGCAAGGAAGCTATGGCGTGCATTCACACCCGCTTCAACCCCAGACTTGAAAGTCAAAAATCCCTCTCAAACCGCTTAGTCTTCCTTCTCGGACTTCCGAGGCTTGCGCAGCAACGGCCTTGGCCAGCATCATGGATAGGTGAACAGCAGAATAAACGTCACACCATGCAGATGGACAACTAGTGATGCTAAACTGTTGACACAGCACATCCAGGTCCCTAACCTGTACTTTTTCTCTGTGGCTGTCCATGTTGAAAGCCTCAGCAGCATTAAACATCCTCAACTCTTGAAGAAAACTGGGTTTCAGATGAATCAACTAGTTGAGACAATGGCAGGCGCTTGCTGGTGCTGTACAAGGTCTTCAAAGTTGCAGCATGCCTGGGCAAAACAGGAATGGCATATCTGCTCGAACAGCGCTCAAGGAAAGAAGACAGACCAACCATGAAACGCGCAAGCGTCGAAGAACATATCCAAAAATAGCAGGCTAGATTCTTCGGCTCATCAACGCTGATTTCCCCCACTCTGAGGTCGGCCGTGAGCTCAGTCATGTCGTCGTACAATTTGGAAACCTTTTTCTGCAACTCCACCACGCTCTTGGCCGCCCTGA